CATCTTGGAGATTGGAAGTAAAAGTTTGTTACTGCTATTTCTTGGAAAGTACTGGATGGATCTTTTCAAATTTCATATGCAGGTTCCCTTTGGTCCCTAGTTGTGCATTATACCTTTTTGGACTGATCTGAATTCAAGATGGCCACTTGTTGGCCTTCTTTTATTTTGAAAGTAAAAGTTTTTTACAGCTATTTCTGAGAAAGTACTGGATAGATCTTTCTCAAATTTCATATGCAGGTTCCCCTTGGTCCCTTATTGTGCATTTTACCTTTTTTGGACTGATCTGAATTCAAGATGGCCACTTGTTGGCCTTCTTTTATTTTGAAAGTAAAAGTTTTTTACAGCTATTTCTGAGAAAGTACTGGATAGATCTTTCTCAAATTTCATATGCAGGTTCCCCTTGGTCCCTTATTGTGCATTTTACCTTTTTTGGACTGATCTGAATTCAAGATGGCCACTTGTTGGCCTTCTTTTATTTTGAAAGTAAAAGTTTTTTACAGCTATTTCTGAGAAAGTACTGGATAGATCTTTCTCAAATTTCATATGCAGGTTCCCCTTGGTCCCTTATTGTGCATTTTACCTTTTTTGGACTAATCTGAAATCAAGATGGCTGACAGGCAGCCATCTTGGATTTTGAAAGTAAAAGTTTGTTACCACTATTTCTGAGGAAGTACTGGATGGATCTTTTTGATATTTCATAGATATTGGTTTCCCTTGGTCCCTAGTTGTGCATTGTACCTTTTTTGGACTGATTGAAATCAAGGTGGCCCACAGGCAGCCATCTTGGATGTCGACAGTAATACAGCACAATATTTTCTTCGATATTCTATCATATTGATTCAAGACCATGTCCATTATCCACCTGTAACTGACTGCTATCTAATAATACTTTGGAATCTTTTTCAAATGATATTTGCTAATAGGTGCTTAATAAAAATATCTTGTGCAATCATTGAGTACATTCAATGAAGACCAGTTCATGAACATTTACAACACCTGTAACCAAAAAAAAAAAAAAATAAAATAAGCAAATCTTCAAGAACTGAAAACAGATCCTCAAATGGTGGGTGCCAAGATCCCACTGGGATCTCTTGTTTACAAAAAGCCTCTTAAATTGAAAAATATGAAAATAAACTGCTGTTTATGAAAGCTTCAGTTCAGAGTTGATTTTGTGTTCAATGCTCTAAATTTTGACTTATTCCACATCACTGTGTTAGCTCACCGGACTCCAAGGGCTGAATGATCTTATAACATACTGTTTTCCCCTCTCCCATATTACTGCTATGGATTTCATTCAAATTTGTATGAAGCATTCTGAGGGGTGGGAGATTAATTAAATTTAGAAAGTTGATTGGACTCTTAGGGCTTGGGGGCAAGATCCCAAAATGGGAAGTTGGTTAATATTTTGTTTCAAAATGCTACTCCTCAATGCCTTGGTATTATTAGAGAATGATGATAATACCAAACATGCTTGGAGTGATATGATATGACCGATTTTTAAACATTATTGGTTTTCACATCTTGTGTAAATGCAATGAATGTTTGACATACGGGTATATCAATCACTGCTACAGTATGCTGACACCAACTGGTAAATAATATCCAAATTCTCGCATCTTGGTCAAAGATCACAAATTTTTTAGGTCATACGATGCGAAGGATTGTTCGCCGTGTGGCGTCAGCTGTGCGCTGTCCGCCGTGCGTTAACTTTTGACATTTCAAACTTCTCAAGTTCCACTAGTGGGATTGAGGTCCGACTTGTGTGAAATGATCCCAAGATGGTCCTTACCAAGTGTTGTTATTTTTCTGGTATGTTTGAAATCCAAGATGGCCGCCATCTTGAAAAGATATTTCAAACTTTATCTCCAGTTCCACTGGTGCCATTGAGCTTTAAATTAGTGGAAAAGTTAAGGAAAGGTAGCCAACAAAGTGTTATTTTTCTACCTTGTCAAAACTTCCATGTTGCAGCCAGGGGGGCCATTTTGTAACATCTTTGTTTTCCTGTGCAACACCCTATTTCAATCTTCTTTTTTAAGTTTCATAAGTTGGATTCAGCTCAAACTTCGCTGTCAAAAATAAGTAACACTTGTGACAGTTACCTGCTGCTCACCAAGACTACCATCTACATCATGGAAAACAGTATTTTAGTAAGATTGCATATAAAGTAGAAAAAAATACCCCTTTTCCATGCTGAAAGTGCTGATTTTAAGGTCTCGGAGGTTAATTAATTCGAAATATTTAAATGAAATTTTCTCAAAAGTCAGAAGTTTGATGGGGATGAAATTTTGTCTGTGATCAAGTGTATCGAATGTATTAATACAAAAAATCAACTTCCAGTCTCCGTAGTGCCAATACTAAAAATGCTATTCGGGTAGCTGTGAAAAATGTGTCTAGTTCTTAAAGGTCTAGGGCCATGATATTTGAAAGATCGAAAGCTGCTTGTAAATATCAAATGACTTTGCCTCATATTCAAGGTCACAGGAGTCAATTGTTTTAAAATCTGTTAAGTAGCATTTTCTCAATACCAAAGGACCACACCGTAATTATTTTTTTCAATAGCACACAGTAACCTTGTCTGAAAATTCAATATCCGGTCTCTGAAGGGCCAATGTTGAAAATGACTGATTTGTCATAGGCTTTTGACAAAGTAAACTGCATTATTATTAGCTCACCTAGCCCAATTTGGCACGGAGAACTGAATGACTCAGATTTCATATGTAGGTTTTCCTTGTCCGTTTCAGTTTGGGACTAACCATGGCAACAAAATGGCTAAATTTTGGGACTAACCATGGCAACAAAATGGCTTAATTTTGGGACTGGTCAGGGAAACAAAATGGCTAAATTTTGGGACTAACCATGGCAACAAAATGGCTTAATTTTGGGACTGGTCAGGGAAACAAAATGGCTAAATTTTGGGACTAACCATGGCAACAAAATGGCTTAATTTTGGGACTGGTCAGGGAAACAAAATGGCTAAATTTTGGGACTGGTCAGGGAAACAAAATGGCTAAATTTTGAGTATGAAAGTTCGTTATAGTTGTTTCTTGAAGTACAAGATGGATCTTTCTCATTTATAGGTTTCCTTGCTCCTTAGTCGTGCCCGCTTGATTTTGAGACCGTTTAGAAAAATGAACTAGCTGGCTGGCGACCATCTTTGATTTGGCAGTCAAAAGGATGTTATACCTCTTCGTAAGAGGAAATGTTAAATTTCATATCATGAAGTCCAAAAAAAAAGGAAAGGAAAAGAAACGAAAAAGGTTTTAAACATTGGTGGGCGCAATAATCCGTCTGGGATTTATTGTTTATTTTGAAATTGGAAGACCACTAAATGCGGTTAAGTGAACGGCCATGTTTGAGATGATTCATAACCTATATATACCTAGAATAATTTATTGTTTAACTAATATTTTAGCTCGTCATTATCAGATGGTTGGCTATTCAAATAGCACTACTTCCAATTCGTCCGTCAACCATTCTCATTATCGCTATTTCTTGGGAAGTGTTTGAGGAGTTTTTCTCAAATTTCGTTTAAAGGTTCCATTCGGTTCCTAGTTGTGTGTCCGTTTTCAGGCCTGATCACGAAAACGAGACAATTGAAGGTGTCCATCCTGGATTTTGAGAATGAAATTTTGTTGTCACTATTTCTTGAGAATTACAGAATCGGTCTTTCACAGATTTCATAAGTAAGTCCCCCTAGATACCTTATTGTTCCCTTCTGACTGATTAGCGAAACAATGGCCAATAGGCAGTAAGAAATTTGTGGGTCTTTTGGGGCCAAAGGGGTGCAGCCCAAAATGGAAAATTTCGCAAATTCTTTGAAATCAATGGTACTTTTTTGTGTCCCTTCCATCCCTATTTTATGTTATCGGTTTTATCTTTATTTGGAAGGAAGCACAACCATGTCAGCGTAATTCAGCATTTATTGAGGTCCTTGGATATACTTGTGTACAGCTGGGATAGTACTGAAACTACCAGTATATGTGTACTGTGTGATAACCACGCTTTCGTCTGCAACCGGATGTTAACTCTTGATTTCTCGTAATGCCGGGAAAAGCTTTTTCCTGTTTCCGAAGTCACAAAATGCCGTCTTACCGATATATATAGACATTGACTTTTCTCCTGTGTGAAGTGTTATAGATATATTTTTACCGTTGTCAAATATACCCCTGGTACTTTGTCATGTGAATTCATAATTACTCTCTTGAACCTAACACTGTCGTCTGTTTCACTAAACTCTTACCGTATCCACACCTAGATATGTTTAATCTTCCCGTATACACACCTAGATATCTGTTTAATCTTCCCGTATCCACACCTAGATATGTTTAATCTTCCCGTATCCACACCTAGATATCTGTTTAATACTCTTCCCGTATCCACACCTAGATATCTGTTTAATACTCCTCCCGTATCCACACCTAGATATCTGTTTAATCTTCCCGTATCCACACCTAGATATCTGTTTAATACTCTTCCCGTATCCACACCTAGATATCTGTTTAATCTTCCCGTATACACACACCTATATGTCTGTTTAATACTCTTCCCGTATCCACACCTAGCTATCTGTTTAATCTTCCCGTATCCACACCTAGATATGTTTAATACTATTCCCGTATCCACACCTAGCTATCTGTTCAATACACTTACCGTATCCACACCTAGATATCTGTTTAATCTTCCCGTATCCACACCTAGATATCTGTTTAATCTTCCCGTATCCACACCTAGCTATCTGTTCAATACACTTACCGTATCCACACCTAGATATCTGTTTAATCTTCCCGTATCCACACCTAGATATCTGTTTAATGCTCTTCCTGTATCCACACCTAGATATCTGTTTAATCTTCCCGTATCCACACCTAGATATCTGTTTAATCTTCCCGTATCCACACCTAGCTATTTGTTCAATACACTTACCGTTTCTTTCATGAATTCCATAAATTATAATTATATACGTATACGATACATTAATGCTGTGTTTGTATTTATTTTAGACCTTTACATAAGCTGTTAAGATGTCCTGGGATTCCTACATAGACAATCTAATCGGACAAACAAAGGACAGCGCCGGAAGTGCGCATGTTGACAAGGCGTGTATCATTGGATTGGACGGCGGGGCTCCATGGACGACGAACGCACATACAAACGCCTTTAACATGGCTCCGGATGAGTGTGCTAAAATTGCCAAGGCTTTCAAATCCAAGGATTTCTCACCATTCATGGCAAGTGGAATACACGCGGAAGGAACAAAGTATCAATTTTTGAGAGAAGAGGACGGTAAACTCGTTCTGGCGAAAAAGAAAGACCAAGGAGCTATTTCATTACAGGCTTCTAAAACTGCTATTGTCATCGCTCATTGTAAGGAGGGCTGTCAACAAGGTAACGCCAACAAAGGGGTGGCAATCATTGCAGAGTACCTTGAATCTCTGGGCATGTGACGTCATAGAACTCATGCATAGACTCCTTCATGGCGGAGAAAAATAGGGATGAAATGGGAAGCGAAAATGTCAGTTATGGATTTTCTTTAACACAAACTCTAGATTATCACACGGAACATTATATCTAAAATCAAGTATGCGATTGGACAACATTATCACGTGATATAAACATGCTGATCCAGAAATGAAGAGACATCAATAAATTTATGTCATTGAATAACAAGACATTAAGTCAATCGAATTCTGTGTCGAAAAGTGATTAAACGAAATCCTTCAATTTTTTACCAGTGAAATGTCCAGTTAACAGGTCCAGGATTAATTAGAGATATTCGATACAGGGTCCATTGTATATGTGATTTGAAAAGCATGTAGAGTTTACCGATTCCATTTAACATTTTGTTACGAATTAAGCATCCGTATAGATGAAAAAGGGAAATGTGAGAAATAAAAAACATTTAAATTCCAAATCTTCTCAACTGTAAAGAACCTCGCCGTGTAAGGAATATTTCAAGGATGTGTGATACTTTTAGCTCACCTACACTGATGTCATGTTAAGTCAACATTAGTTAGAAAACCAATATGTACATAGAAATGTCTTGTAAACGTATGGTGCAATCATTTAGCGGTATCTTATAAGGTAATAATAATGAAGTAAAATAAACTGTAACAACATAAATCACATTCGAAATGTATTATACAGATCTATGTTGAATTATATATGAAATCCTGTGTAAACGAATCTATATTTAGTAACGAACACATGGCCTGTGGAGCTTGACGTTTTACTACAAACGCTATGTTTTCTTAGGACATGTGACTTCCGAGTTCATTAATCATTCCTCCATTATTGTATGAGCAGGGTGCATGTAATACACACTTTATTGAACCTTTTGTAATCAATATTGAAATGTTCAAATGACACCCCAGCAAATTCCGACGAAAATCGTTGCGTTTTCGTAACATATCGGAATTTCCCGAAGTTAGAAAACATTTCTACAATATGTTGCATGGGCTATTTTAAAAATAGATTTGTATGGGACATTTATTCGCTTCTAATGGTAAATATAAAAAGACGATGTATGCATGAGTTAGCGCGTGCATCTGCTGTTCAGTGGTGTGCAGAGGTTCAGTGGTCACGGTCAAGGTCATTTATTTGAATGTAGAGCATACGGTAAACAGCGATAAGTTTTGCTTTCAAAAATAAATACAATGGACGGAAGGTAAGACTTGTTTAATGTTGTATTTACCACAGGCAAAGATAGCGCCCTGCCGTTTTCACATTCCAGGACGATTATTGCTATAACTTAACGAAATCGATCGATTGCAAGAAACCCATTGGTTAATCTATCCGTAATAAAAGCCAAGGCCGTTGTGAGGACGACATTAGGCAGGACATATGTTAATATTGAATTTGTTTTGTATGCGAAATTGGCTGCAAAGTCGTTGATGGTATAAACTCGACATAGCGACAAGTTAGTAAGCCTACTGGTGTCGAGACATCAAAAGATACTTATCCTGCTGGTGTCGAGACATCAAAAGTTACTGATCATGCTGGTGTGGAGATATCAAAAGTTACTAATCCTGCTGGTGTCGAGATATTAAAAGTTGCTAATCCTGCTGGTGTACAGACATCAAAAGTTACTTAACCTGCTGGTGTACAGACATCAAAAGTTACTGATCCTGCTGGTGTCGAGACGTCAAAAGTTACTGATGCTGCTGGTGTTGAGATATCAAAAGTTACTGCTCTGCAGGTCAAAAATTACTGATACTACTGGTGTTGAAATATCAAAAGTTGCTGATTCTGCCGGTGTCGAGATACTTAAGTTACTCATCCTGCTGTTATAAGTTACTCACGTGACTTTAGAAATGGAAAATTGATATACTCAATGTTCTTTTTATAAACTTGTCGTATAATCAAAGATTTCAAACAGAAGCGCAAATCTTTGAAACCATATATTACTCAATTGTTAACAGAACATAAAGATATACTTGCGTGTTTTGTCGACTAACTGTATCGAGATATTTGTTTGGCTTAAATATCAACAAAATATTTCTTCATGTTCCTATGACTAACTTCCTAACAAATTATCGTGTGATTCAATTGTCAACAAATTATCTAAACCAACTCGAGTGACAGACTTGTCAACGCACTACCTAGATATCCAAGTGTGTGACTGACTTGTCAACACTATCTAGATATCCAAATGTGTGACGGACTTGTCAACACACTACCTAGATATCCATGTTTGTGACTGATTTGTCAACACAAGATATCCACGTGTATGACTGACTTGTCAACACACTACCTAGATATCCACGTGTGTGACTGACTTCTCAACACTATCTAGATATCCACGTGTGTGACTGACCTGTTAACACACTAAAAAGATATCCACGTGTGTGACTGGCTTGTCAGCACTACCTAGATATCCATGTGTGTCTGACTTGTTAACACACTATCTAGATATCCACGTGTGTGACGGACTTGTCAACACTATCTAGATATCCACGTGTGTCTGACTTGTTAACATACTATCTAGATATCCACGTGTTTGACTGACCTGTTAACATACTATCTAGAAATTCACTTGTGTGACTGACCTGTTAACACACTATCTAGATATCCACGTGTGTGACTGACCTGTTAACATACTATCTAGAAATTCACGTGTGTGACTGACCTGTTAATACATTACCTAGATATCCACGTGTGTGACTGACTTGTCAACACTATCTAGATATCCACGTGTTTCTGACTTGTTAACATACTACCTAGATATCCACGTGTGTGACTGACTTGTAAACGCTCTAGATATCGACGTGTGTGACTGACTTGTTAACATACTACCTAGACATCCACGTGTGTGACTGACACACTGTTATGACTGGCTTGTCACACTACCTACCACGTGTGTGACTCTTGTCAACACACTACCTAGATAGATATCCACGTAGTGTGTGTGACTGACCTGTTAACATACTATCTAGATATCCACGTGTGGGACTGACCTGTTAACATACTATCTAGATATCCACGCGTGTGATTGGCTTGTCAACACAATATCCACGTGTGTGACTGACTTGTTAACACTACCTAGATATCCACGTGTATGAGTGACTTGTCAACACTATCTAGATATCCACGTGTGACTGACCTGTTAACACACTATTTAGATATCCACGTGTGTGACTGACCTGTTAACATACTATCTAGATATCCACGTGTGTGACTGACCTGTTAACACACTAGATATCCACGTGTGCGACTGACTTGTCAACACACTATCTAGATATCCGCGTGTGTGACTGCAATGTCAACACTACCTAGATATCCACGTATGTGACTGACTTGTTAACACTACCTAGACATCCACGTGTGTGACTGACTTTTCAACACTATCTAGATATCCACGTGTGTGTCTGAATTGTTAACATACTATCTAGATATCCACGTGTGTCTGACTTGTTAACATACTATCTAGATATCCACGTGTTTGACTGACCTGTTAACATACTATCTAGAAATTCACTTGTGTGACTGACCTGTTAACACACTATCTAGATATCCACGTGTGTGACTGACCTGTTAACATACTATCTAGAAATTCACGTGTGCGACTGACTTGTCAACACACTATCTAGATATCCGCGTGTGTGACTGCATTGTCAACACTACCTAGATATCCACGTGTGTGACTGACTTGTTAACACTACCTAGACATCCACGTGTGTGACTGACTTTTCAACACTATCTAGATATCCACGTGTGTGTCTGACTTGTTAACATACTATCTAGATATCCACGTGTGTGACTGACCTGTTAACACACTAGATATCCACGTGTGCGCCTGACTTGTCAACATACTACCTAGATATCAACGTGTGTGACTGTCTTGTCAACACACTACCTAGATATCCGCGTGCATGACTGACTTGTCAACACTATCTAGATATCTTAGCCGTATCCAGATAATTGTGCGTTCCTGTTCTTTCTTCTAGATATCCGTGACTTTTACCTATATTCTCATAAACATCGGTACTCACACCTTGTCATTCGTAAATTTGTCCTATTCCTGTATATGTACTATCCTTGGCGCATCAGTTTCGGACCTCGCTAGCTACTGAATTACAACTAAAAAAATACATAAATTATATAAAATATCTTTAGGCTACAGATATAAGATTTATGTGAAAAAAAACTGACTGTGAAACACCAGTGTCTTTTCTAAAAAAATATCCAAATACAACCTCAAAATAGCCCACCTGAAATGATTGACATGAGTATCGGAAATGTGACTAATCTGGGAGGATGCACAAAGCAGGCTATGAAATGTATACCCATAATATCTTCCCTTAATGTCCGTATCTACACCTAGATATCTGTTTAATACTCTTCCCGTATCCACACCTAGCTATCTGTTTAATCTCCCGTATCCACACCTAGGTATCTGTTTAATACTCTTCCCGTATCCACACCTAGATAGCTGTTTAATCTTCCCGTATCCACACCTAGCTATCTGTTCAATACACTTACCGTATCCACACCTAGATATGTTTAATACTCTTCCCGTATCCACACCTAGATATCTGTTTAATCTTCCCGTATCCACACCTAGATAGCTGTTTAATCTTCCCGTATCCACACCTAGCTATCTGTTTAATCTTCTCGTATCCACACCTAGATATGTTTAATACTATTCCCGTATCCACACCTAGCTATCTGTTCAATACACTTACCGTATCCACACCTAGATATCTGTTTAATGCTCTTCCTGTATCCACACCTAGATATCTGTTTAATCTTCCCGTATCCACTCCTAGATATCGGTTTAATGCTCTTCCCGTATCCACACCTAGCTATCTGTTTAATCTTCCCGTATCCACACTTAGATATCTGTTTACTCTTCCCGTATCCACACCTAGCTATCTGTTCAATACACTTACCGTATCCACACCTAGCTATCTGTTTAATCTTCCCGTATCCACACCTAGCTATCTGTTTAATCTTCTCGTATCCACACCTAGATATGTTTAATACTATTCCCGTATCCACACCTAGCTATCTGTTCAATACACTTACCGTATCTACACCTAGATATCTGTTTAATGCTCTTCCTGTATCCACACCTAGATATCTGTTTAATCTTCCCGTTTCCACTCCTAGATATCGGTTTAATGCTCTTCCCGTATCCACACCTAGCTATCTGTTTAATCTTCCCGTATCCACACTTAGATATCTGTTTACTCTTCCCGTATCCACACCTAGCTATCTGTTCAATACACTTACCGTATCCACACCTAGCTATCTGTTTAATCTTCCCGTATCCACACCTAGATATCGGTTTAATGCTCTTCCCGTATCCACACCTAGCTATCTGTTTAATCTTCCCGTATCCACACCTAGATATCTGTTTAATGCTCTTCCCGTATCCACACCTAGATATCTGTTTAATGCTCTTCCCGCATCTACACCTAGATATCTGTTTAATCTTCCCGTATCCACACCTAGATATCTGTTTAATGCTCTTCCCGTATCCACACCTAGCTATCTGTTTAATCTTCCCGTATCCACACCTAGATATCTGTTTAATACTCTTCCCGTATCCACACCTAGATATCTGTTTAATCTTCCCGTATCCACACCTAGATATCTGTTTAATGCTCTTCCCGTATCCACACCTAGATATCTGTTTAATGCTCTTCCCGCATCCACACCTAGATATCTGTTTAATGCTCTTCCCGTATCCACACCTAGATATCTGTTTAATGCTCTTCCCGTATCCACACCTAGATATCTGTTTAATGCTCTTCCCGTATCCACACCTAGATATCTGTTTAATGCTCTTCCCGTATCCACACCTAGATATCTGTTTAATGCTCTTCCCGTATCCACACCTAGATATCTGTTTAATGCTCTTCCACACCTAGATATCCACACCTAGATATCTGTTTAATGCTCTTCCCGTATCCACACCTAGATATCTGTTTAATGCTCTTCCCGTATCCACACCTAGATATCTGTTTAATGCTCTTCCCGTATACACACCTAGATATCTGTTTAATACTCTTCCCGTATCCACACCTAGATATCTGTTTAATGCTCTTCCCGTATACACACCTAGATATCTGTTTAATGCTCTTCCCGTATCCACACCTAGATATCTGTTTAATACTCTTCCCGTATCCACACCTAGATATCTGTTTAATACTCTTCCCGTATCCACACCTATATGTCTGTTTAATGCTCTTCCCGTATCCACACCTAGATATCTGTTTAATCTTCCCGTATCCACACCTAGATATCTGTTTAATGCTCTTCCTGTATCCACACCTAGATATCTGTTTAATGCTCTTCCCGTATCCACACCTAGATATCTGCTTAATACTCTTCCCGTATCCACACCTATATGTCTGTTGAATACTCTTCCGTATCCACACCTAGATATCTGTTTACTCTTCCCGTATCCACACCTAGATATCTGTTTGCGGGTCCCATGTCCATACCTAGATATATGTTTATTCATCCCGTATTCGTCCATTATATCAGCACAAGGATTCCACTTTTCGACAATAAAACTATAAAATTGATGAGTGCATTTTTTTTTTATTTTGCCAAATCGATGTATTTAGTTTCATATGAATTACAACGGTACTGTTGCAATAAGAGTATAAATTAAACGTTTGAATCTTCATGGGTACATATATCGGTGGCATGCTGACAATTTTTTTACTGATTTTGGCATAATTAAGTTTTAGTGCACCATCTTTTACCTAACAAACTACTGCAAGGATGAGCAATCCCTTTCGTTATATAACAAAATACAGTGAAACCATGTTATTAAGACCACTTTGGGGACTGTACAAAAGTGGTCTTAATAGTGAAGTGGATCAGAGTGACCGTCAAGAACCGTAACTCTGTTTCAAATAAAGACTGTCGCAACAGTATTTCAACGCAATATTCTGTGCGCGAATAACGCTAAAATAAAATTATCGCTAAAAGATGGTGAATACATTATTCGTTAACTCGTTTCCTTGTCCGTGCACGGACGTTCGTTCCATATCCACTGTAAGTAAATGCATGCCTTATCCGCAAATACATACCACACCCTTAATACGGATATGTATAATACCAATCTATTGGAATTTGAAATGTCATTTCTGTTGCCTGGTACCTGTGTTAATATAATAGTGAACAACTTCATGTTATGACTTTGTCTTAATCTGTACTTCTATTTGTTCTCAAGAGGCCAAAAGACTTGAATGTTTTTGTCACATTATGATCGCATATTGGAATACATAACATTGTTTTTTTTAGGTCGCCATAACCAGTTTCATTAGTGTCTTGAAACAGCGAGATCTTTCATGAATTCCATAAATTATAATTGTATACGTATACGATACATTAATGCTGTGTTTGTATTTATTTTAGACCTTTACATAAGCTGTTAAGATGTCCTGGGATTCCTACATAGACAATCTAATCGGACAAACAAAGGACAGCGCCGGAAGTGCGCATGTTGACAAGGCGTGTATCATTGGATTGGACGGCGGGGCTCCATGGACGACGAACGCACATACAAACGCCTTTAACATGGCTCCGGATGAGTGTGCTAAAATTGCCAAGGCTTTCAAATCCAAGGATTTCTCACCATTCATGTCAAATGGAATACACGCGGAAGGAACAAAGTATCAATTTTTGAAAGAAGAGGACGGTAAAACCGTTATGGCGAAAAAGAAAGGGGAAGGGGCTTTAACATGTCAGGCTTCTAAAACTGCTATTGTCATCGCTCATTGTAAGGAGGGCTGTCAACAAGGTAACGCCAACAAAGGGGTGGCAGTCATTGCAGATTACCTTGAATCTCAGGGCATGTGACGTCATAGAACTCATGCATAGACTCCTTCATGGCGGAGAAAAATAGGGATGAAATGGGAAGCGAAAATGTCAGTTATGGATTTTCTTTAACACAAACTCTAGATTATCACACGGAACATTATATCTAAAATCAAGTATGCGATTGGACAACATTATCACGTGATATAAACATGCTGATCCAGAAATGAAGAGACATCAATAAATTTATGTCATTGAATAACAAGACATTAAGTCAATCGAATTCTGTGTCGAAAAGTGATTAAACGAAATCCTTCAATTTTTTACCAGTGAAATGTCCAGTTAACAGGTCCAGGATTAATTAGAGATATTCGATACAGGGTCCACTGTATATGTGATTTGAAAAGCATGTAGAGTTTACCGATTCCATTTAACATTTTGTTACGAATTAAGCATCCGTATAGATGAAAAAGGGAAATGTGAGAAATAAAAAACATTTAAATTCCAAATCTTCTCAACTGTAAAGAACCTGGCCATGTAAGGAATATTTCAAGGATGTGATATTTTCCGCTCACCTACACTGCTGTCATGTTAAGTCAACATTAGTTAGAAAACCAATATGTACATAGAAATGTCTTGTAAACGTATGGTGCAATCATTTAGCGGTATTTTATAAGGTAATAATAATGAAGTAAAATAAACTGTAACAACATAAATCACATTCGAAATGTATTATACAGATCTATGTTGAATTATATATGAAATCCTGTGTAAACGAATCTATATTTAGTAACGAACACATGGCCTGTGGAACTTGTCGTTTTACTACAAACGCTATGTTTTCTTAGGACATGTGACTTCCGAGTTCATTAATCATTCCTCCATTATTGTATGAGCAGGGTGCATGTAATACACACTTTATTGAACCTTTTGTAATCAATATTGAAATGTTCAAATGACACCCCAGCAAATTCCGACGAAAATCGTTGCGTTTTCGTAACATATCGGAATTTCCCGAAGTTAGAAAACATTTCTACAATATGTTGCATGGGCTATTTTAAAAATAGATTTGTATGGGACATTTATTCGCTTCTAATGGTAAATATAAAAAGACGATGTATGCATGAGTTAGCGCGTGCATCTGCTGTTCAGTGGTGTGCAGAGGTTCAGTGGTCACGGTCATTTATTTGAATGTAGAGCATACGGTAAACAGCGATAAGTTTTGCTTTCAAAAATAAATACAATGGACGGAAGGTAAGACTTGTTTAATGTTGTATTTACCACAGGCAAAGATAGCGCCCTGCCGTTTTCACATTCCAGGACGATTATTGCTATAGCTTAACGAAATCGATCGATTGCAAGAAACCCATTGGTTAATCTATCCGTAATAAAAGCCAAGGCCGTTGTGAGGACGACATTAGGCAGGACATATGTTAATATTGAATTTGTTTTGTATGCGAAATTGGCTGTAAAGTCGTTGATGGTATAAACTCGACATAGCGACAAGTTAGTAAGCCTTCTGGCGTCGAGATATCAAAAGTTTCAAATCCTGCTCGTGTCGAGACATCAAAAGATACTGAACGTGCTGGTTTCGAGATACCAAAAGTTACTGATCCAGCTGGTGTCGAGACATCAAAAGTTAATACTCCAGCTGGTGTCGAGATATCAAAAGTTACTAATCCTGCTGGTGTCGAGATATCAAATGTTACTACTCCAGCTGCTGTTGAGATATCAAAAGTTACTGATCCTGCTGGTGTCGAGACATCAAAATTTACTAATCCTGCTGGTGTCGAGATATTAAAAGTTACTACTCCAGCTGCTGTTGAGATATCAGAAGTTACTGATCCTGCTGGTGTCGAGACATCAAAAGTTGCTGATTCTGCCGGTGTCGAGATACTCAAGTTACTGAACCTGCTGTTGTAAGTTATTTGTTTGGATATTTCGTCATGTTCCTCTGACTCACTTCCTAACAAATTATCTGAACAAACACGTGTGATTCAGTTGTCAACAGAATTATCTAAACCAACTCGTGGGATTCAATTGTCAACAAATTATCTCGACCAACTCGAGTGACAGACTTGTCAACACTACCTAGATATCCACGTGTGTGACAGACTTGTCATCACACTACCTAGATATACACGTGTGTGACTGACTTGTCAACATACTACCGAGATATCCATGTTTATGACGGACTTGTCAACACTAGCGAGATATCCACGTGTGTGACTGACTTGTCAACATACTACCTAGATATCCACGTGTGTGACTGCCTTGTCAAGATACTATCTAGATATCCACGTGTGTGACTGACTTGTCAACACTATCTAGATATCTACGTGTGTGACTGACTTGTCAACACTATCTAGATATCCACGTGTGTGACTGACTTGTCAACACTATCTAGATATTAACTTGTGTGACTGACTTGTCAACATACTATCTAGATATCCACGTGTGTGACTGACTTGTCAACACTATCTAGATATTTACGTGTGTGGCTGATTTGTAAACTCATTAGATATCCACGTGTGTTACTGACTTGTCAACACTATCTAGATATCCACGTGTATGACTGACTTTTCAACATTATATCTAGATATACTAATGTGTGACGGACTTGTCATTACTATCTAGACATCCATGTGTGTGACTGATTTGTCAACATACTACATAGATATCCACGTGTGTGACGGAATTGTCATCACTATCTACACATCCACGTGTCTGACTTGTCAACACACTATCTAGATATCCACATGTGTGACTGACTTGTCAACATACTACCTAGTCATCCACGTGTTGACTAACGTGTTATCACACTCTAGATATCCACGTGTGTGACTAACTTGTCAACACTATCTAAATATCCACGTGTGTGACTGACTTCTCAAGAAACTACCTAGACATCCACGTGTTTGACTGACGTGTTAACACACTACCTAGATATCCACGTGTCACTGACTTGTCAACACTATCTAGACATCCACGTGTTTGACTGACGTGTTAACACACTATCTAGATATCCACGTGTGTGACGGACTTGTCAACATACTACCTAGACATCCACGTGTTTGACTGACGTGTTAACACACTATCTAGATATCCACG